AAAAAAGTTAAATCATGTAGCTCAAAGCTTAGACAAATTTATAATTGCTAACAAGTTAACTCTTCAATTTAAACTCAAAATCTCATCTAAACATAATAGCCGGTGGCATCGTCACGTAAACCGTTGACATAAGTGAGGAAAAAGACATGGTTGGGAATTTAAGAAACGCCGACTTCACAAATCACAACTTTAAGGACCCAGTCAAATGTTAAGGAAGTGTAAAGTGAGGATTTCACAAGCCTTCTGTAGAAATGCTTTAGACAGCAGCATTTGATTTTTTTACGTTGGAGGCCGCGGTAATAATGGTTTAATTTTCGAACACATTTATAATTTTATTATAAAAACCAAAAGCCGCAGTGTGTTGTGATTGTGATGTGGTGGTGTGTCAAAAATAGAAAGTCTCACGTTGAAAAGATCATCTCGATCTAATATGAAGGTGTGTGGATGTGTCCTTGTAGAAGTCCCACCTTCATTAATTTTCAAAAAAATTCAGGTGATAACTGTTTATAAATAAGTAGTGACCAATATTAATTCAAGGCTTTTAAGCATATCGAGCTCTTGAATTTTTTTAGTATTTCTTTTCCTTTTCATATATTCTTATGCTTATTTATATATTGATTCGGTTTTAAATATAAGATTTATTTTGTAATATAATATAATAAAATAAATTTTATATTTAAGACTGAATAAATATTTATATTTTCCTGCCTGTGGTGGAATAACTTATAGACACTATGTTCATGGAAGCATGACTCGAATCATGTTTTTATTTTATTTTGTTTTTATTTTTCAGGTATTTTTCCAACACAATGCACATTAAATAGGCTAGTTTAAACTCTAAGATATGCATTGATGAAGAGAAGTCAAATATTCAAAGGAGATAAGTGGATAACTTAAGAACACTGGAATGTGCACCTGAAAAGCGAATATAGCTACCCAGTTTCTCTTTTTGGACGGTTTGGTAAGACCAGAGAAGCCTTCCAATGCAAGGATCAACCGATACACACACACAATTGGGTGAGGACGGCTTCACAAAAAGGAGAAACTCAAATGAACAAACACCTATGCATAGACAATGATACTATCTCTGATCTTAATTATAAAATCTCATTTATAGTTTATGATCGAGATCTTATAAATAGGATCGGATGTAGTATTTCTTAAAATGTAATAAAAAGTATAACGATTCACTCTTATAACATGATAGAAATTTAAAACTAAAAATCCAATTGAATTTGGGTCCTAAAGTAAAGGCGCATATGAGTCATAGCATGTCTATGACCTTATATCAGTAACTGGATTCAAATCCATTCCCTTCCATTGCTATTTATTTAATGGTATTTGAAAATATTTCAATCAATGGAATATTTTGCCCCCCTAAAAGTTTGAAAATCAGCTAAAGTAATGGTTAGGAAAAAAAAGCAGTTAGAACGAATCGAATGTTCAAGACTTCGAAGTTATGTGATTAGCAAAGCTATATGGCGAGGGATAATAATGGAAAGCCATTAAAATAAGACGAGTATTTGAGGAGATTAATTAGAGAGAGGAGGGATTATTAGTCGTGAAAAACAAAAGCATGATGCGCGGAGAGAATAATTTTATTGACGTAATTGGATGGGATAAGAAGATAATGATCGCAAATAATACTTAATCGGAAAATCTTTAATCACATTCGCATTGCCGTGTGGGTTCAGTGACAGTGACTTTGGATAATGTTCAAATTCACAACAAGCGCGTTACATTTTTCCCAACCTCGACAGTACATTACAGGGTCTTTTTTTCTTTTTTTTGGATTTCTCCTCCGGTATCCAGGAAAATAGACATCTTTCAGCCGTGACAACGTCCCCAGACTAATCCGGATCGAGAGCTTGCAAGGAACCTTTCGGTCGGCGCCCTCTGGCCCCTTAGGGTGCTGCATTCCCACAGTTCGAACTCGAGACCTGTGGTTAAGCTAGGACAACCCCAGCCAGCTGACCTAACCCCTTGGGGTTACATTGCAGGGTCTTAATGTCACATAATCCGCGAATATTTAAACTTCTAAAAAGATAAGCTTCCCACAATTTCTATATTTATTTCCAAAATTTAAAATCCCACATGTATATTTATTTTTTTTGGGTCTCAAGTCACACCCTCATCCCACCTTGATAAGAAGTTTGAATTCAAAAAGGAACTGTTCCGTGTATAAAAATCTGATAATTTTGTATTTACCTCTTAATATGTTACAATAAAATAATAATTTTACTATCTTTTCTATCTTAAATATAAGATCTGTTTTATAGTATAATTTATGACCCACTTTATATGCTAAATTACACTACGAAGTGGGTTTTACATTTCGGATGGAAGGAGTATTAAATTATCTTAAAAACAAGAGTTAATACTTTTTTTAATCCTTAAAATTTAACTCATAAAATTTGAAATTAATGGTTCATTTAGGAACCAACAAGATTGTCCCGAATGCAAAAAACTCTTTAACCAAATCAAAATAAAATAATATTTCAGAAATACCAAATCCAAATGAGTTCGAATTTATTAATCTAAAAGATTAAGGGAGTATTTGACAACACCTGAAATATTTTTAAAAAAATATTTTTACAAATTTTTTCATATATTTACTCTATATATCATAAAATTATTTTTAAAATTATAATTTGATTTTTACCTAAATATTCCTAATTTACTTGGAGTGAGTTGATATTAATTATTTGGTCACGAGTTTTTTTAAAATTGGATCTCATTTTTTTCTTTTCGGGTGATATGGAATTATGGATCTCTTAGAATCCAAGAGGAAGGTGCACGCACTGAGGCACTGCAGGGAAACTATTCCTTGCAGGTACACCTAATATGGTACGTACGTTCGCACCAGAGTTTGCCCCTTCCCCTCTTGTCCTTTTCCTTCGACGCCAACCTCACTGTCTCCATTAATATCCCCTTACTCTCTTCCTTCCCCACCCGTCCGATCAGACCATCCTCCTCATGTCTCATTCTCATCCAACGGTTAGTAATTCGCCGCGCTTGATCAACGATCATCGAACATAGATCGTCCCCACAGAGTAGCACACGCCGTGAGGGTGTATCTCCATTGAGACTCCTCAACAAGAATGAAAGAACCGGGAAGACTTGTGCGAGGAAGAAAACCAAACCTTATCCACACTCATGAGTTGAGAAGTGTGAAATTGCCGCCCTGCCCGCCTGCTCACTCTGTCCGGCTCCTTTTGTCCTTTTTGGTGCAGTTGTGGTTCAAAAATACGATGAGCGTTCAACACGTGTCTCATGCTTCCACGTGCCCCATAGTACCGCGTAGCAGCCTCCCCACCTCACCTAACCAAACCCTCCTCGACTTGGTGCTTATCCTTTCTGCATTAATCTGTTAAAAAAATCTCGGAATAAATTAACATAAATTTAAACAATATAATTTTTTTTTTTTGCCAAACAACAATATAATATTATTTGGAATCTCGATTCTGGCAACTATTATTCACCGTTACATAAGTCCCGCTTGCGTTTAAATTTATAAGCCTAAAGCCATTATTTTTTTAGCCACCGATACGGTAAAGTGATTGACTTCCTTTCTCTGCGTATCGGGCAAATAATGTAATCTAATTTACAGTGCTAGTGTCCAATTTTCAAACACACTCACCCTCATACACTGTTTGAGAAAATATTTCAAATAACAAATATACTTAGATTTTTTTTTATATCATTTTTAAGGAAAATGTCTGATCTTTAATAAAATATTAAGGTGCGTTGTTAAAATAAGTGGTATTTTGTGTAGTTTATTCAAAATATTAAATTTTTTATATTGTTTTTTTTAATCCTTTACTCATTGGAAGATACTCATGTATCATACCAAAATAAAAACACAACTTTATACTTATATAAAATTTTAAAAAATAGTACTAAATATCAATTGAGCTAAACCCTCTTGCTGGTCAAAAAAAAAAATTGAGCTAAACACTCCAACAAATTTTATATTATTTGTGAACACAAATGAACGTTGATCTTAATGAAATACTCTGATCTAAGTGGTTAATCTTTTAAAAACAAGCGAATAATATTGCAAGTTGGATATGGAGCAGCGTGGTGAAGTGGGTCCCAGCGGGGACATAGCGAAGTGACCATTGCGGCGTCCAGCTGTCAACGGTGGTGGGTCGGGGCTCCAAATTCAAAGCACTTTCTACTTCACGTGGCCCGAGATTTTCACCGCGTCCGTTTTGCATTTCCAGCTTATCCACTCGACCCTCTCTTCCCAATCAAATCGATTCTTCTCATCGTCTTTGGACGTGTCGTCTACTGATTAGGTAACCGGAAAACGTTACCGTGCTCTTCGAAACACCAAATCCCTACAGTTGTCGGAGATATCCGATAAATGGTCAAACCGAGGCACGAATCTCGATCCTGTTTATGAAGCGTGGACAACTTGCCACGTAGCTCAAAGGGAGCCCATCACCGAATAGTAATCAGACACGTGTCGAAAGTCGAGCGCATGACAGCTAATTTCGGACAAGCTCGCCCCCGAAGTGGGCCCCACAAGAACCATGATGCCTCGGGGCGGACTTACCAAAGGACAAAGGATAAGGTCGAAGTCTAGAAATGATAAGCTGCATCTCACGCCATAGGTTACCATAGACACGTAGCCGTTGATTCGGATGAGTTCATGTCTAGTTGACTAATCTAACTGTTGATAGTGGCTTCTTATTTTTCTTACTCTCTCTTGGTTGAGACAAAACAAGAAACAAATGGCGAAGCTGTTGACCCATAAACACTAGGGAGCTTCCAAAAATATCACACTGTGATAAGCTGTCCCAGCCCAGTGGAGAGAGAGAGAAAGTGATGAGCGAGAAAGCTCCATAAAGCTACCAAAAGATAATTTAAAGTTTTCTATATTTTTTATTAAAAAAATTATTATGAATTAATATATATTTTTCCCCATATTCCTCTTCACCACCCCTTCTGGTTGGACCAGATTGGATTTTTCCTCCTCCAACGTTTTTATCTGGATTCCAAATTTTCTCCCCATCCAATCAAAAATGGAATTCAAATCTCAATCAAACTGGTAATTTCCTCAGCCGTTTCTTTAATCAACTCGGGTTCGTCCTGTTTCTTTCTTTTTTCCTTCCTTCCTCCCTTCATTTCTTTCTCTTCCCCTCTTCTCTGAAGTTCTCTGCTTGTACATGACAACAACAATTTCTAGAGGATTGTTTGGTTGCTGTTTGTTGTCATAGCCGTATTTATTTTGATCTGAATCTATTCCATCCCTTTTGTTCCCCTCTTATCTGGAATTACAACTAGTAGGTAACTACATGGTGTATCTATCCCTGGCCTTGATCCACTTCTCTAAGCTCATCTTCAAGCTGCTTCTGCTCTTCTCTCTCTTTTAATGCTCTCCTTCCCTGTCCATCAGACGTTAATCACCTCCTCCTCCCATTTCACGTCCTGTAGTTCCTCATCTTCTCAATTCAGGACCAGTGTTTTCTGACCCGCATCTCGAAATCTCTGTTTTTAAAGGAGTTATCTTGAGTGAGTGATTTATTTGTTAGTTTAGTGCTGTAGCTTTTGTGATTTTCTTAGAAAATGGTTTCAAGATCTTACTCAAATCTATTGGACCTAGCCTCTGGTGATTCTCCATCGTTTGGGTTAATAAACCGCGGGATGCCCAGGATTATGACAGTGGCTGGCTTCATTTCTGAGGTTGATGACGACCCAGTGGAGAGTGTGAACTCTGATCCCTCCTCGTCGTCGGTCCACCGCGAACGGATCATAATAGTTGCGAACCAGCTTCCAATCAGGGCTCAGAGGAAGCCAGATGGTTGTAGTAGCAGTAGTAGTACTAGGAATTGGTTGTTCCAGTGGGATGATAATTCACTACTTCTTCAGTTGAAAGATGGATTGGGTGATGATGATATTGATGTTATTTATGTTGGGTGTCTCAAGGAAGAAATCCACCCAAATGAACAAGATGAGGTCTCACAATTTCTCCTGGAAAATTTCAGATGCGTCCCTACTTTTCTCCCTTCTGATCTGTTTTCAAGATACTATCATGGGTTTTGCAAGCAGCAGCTATGGCCTTTGTTTCACTACATGCTGCCTCTGTCACCAGAACTCGGTGGTAGATTCAACAGGTCACTCTGGCAGGCTTATGTCTCTGTGAATAAGATTTTTGCTGATCGAATTATGGAAGTGATTAACCCAGAAGATGATTATGTTTGGATCCATGATTATCATCTCATGGTGTTGCCTACATTCTTGAGGAAGAGATTTAACAGAGTGAAACTTGGGTTCTTCCTCCATAGCCCATTCCCTTCTTCAGAAATTTACAAGACATTGCCCATTAGAGAAGAACTACTGAGAGCTCTTTTGAATTCAGATTTGATAGGTTTCCACACATTTGATTATGCACGGCATTTCTTGTCCTGTTGTAGCCGGATGCTTGGCCTTAGCTATGAATCAAAGCGGGGTTATATTGGGCTTGAGTATTATGGTAGGACTGTTAGCATAAAAATTCTTCCTGTTGGTATCCACATGGGTCAGCTTCAACAAGTGTTAAGCTTTACTAAGACAGAAGAGAAAGTTGCTGAGCTCATTAAGCAATTTGCAGGTCGAGGAAGGACATTGATGCTTGGAGTTGATGACATGGATATCTTCAAGGGAATAAGTTTAAAGCTTTTGGCAATGGAACAGCTTCTTATTCAACATCCAGAGTGGCAAGGGAAGGTTGTATTGGTCCAAATTGCTAACCCGGCCCGGGGGAAGGGGAAAGATGTGAAGGAAGTGCAAGCTGAGACGAAGGCAACAGTTAAAAGGATTAACGAAACATTTGGGAAACCTGGGTATGATCCTGTCATTCTGATTGAGGAGCCACTCAAGTTCTATGAGAAAGTTGCATACTATTCTGTTGCTGAGTGTTGTCTGGTCACTGCAGTTAGGGACGGAATGAATCTCATACCTTACGAATACATAGTCAGTCGTCAAGGAAATGATAAATTGGACAAAGTTTTGGGACTATCTTCCTCTCCTAAAAAGAGCATGTTGGTCGTCTCTGAGTTCATAGGATGTTCCCCATCTTTAAGTGGAGCAATCAGGGTGAACCCATGGAATATTGATGCAGTAGCAGATGCAATGGACTCTGCCCTGGAGATGCCTGATTCAGAGAAAGAGCTTAGGCATGAGAAGCATTATAGATATGTTAGCACCCATGATGTGGGGTACTGGGCTCGAAGCTTCTTGCAGGATCTGGAAAGGACTTGTGGTGATCATGTCCGGCGAAGGTGGTGGGGAATTGGTTTTGGATTGGGTTTTAGAGTCGTAGCACTTGATCCAAACTTCAGGAAGCTCTCAATGGAGCACATAGTTTCAGCCTACAGACGAACAAAAACTCGGGCGATCCTTCTAGATTATGATGGTACACTAATGCCTCAAGCTTCCATTGATAAGAGTCCGACAAGTAAAACCATTGAAATTCTTAGTAGCTTGTGCAGAGACAAGAACAACATGATGTTTCTCGTTAGTGCTAGAAGCCGAAAAACACTTGCTGAGTGGTTTTCTCCTTGTGAGAATCTGGGAATTGCAGCTGAGCATGGTTACTTTCTAAGGTAAACTGGGATGATATTTAGTTAAAAGTTCCGTCGGTGTTTGTTATTAGCCTCATCATCAATAACACCCAACACGTGCTTTTCAATTGTTTGGTTTCAGGTTGAAGCGTGATGCAGAATGGGAAACATGCGGACCTGCAACAGACTGTAGCTGGAAACAGATTGCTGAGCCTGTGATGAAGCTTTATACTGAAACAACTGATGGATCCACTATTGAAGATAAAGAGACCGCACTTGTGTGGTGTTATGAGGATGCAGATCCAGATTTCGGGTCATGCCAAGCCAAGGAACTTCTTGATCATCTTGAAAGTGTGCTTGCAAATGAACCTGTCACTGTCAAGAGTGGCCAGAACATTGTAGAGGTTAAACCACAGGTGTGTATAATATCCTTGTATGAGATTAAATCAGTTCTCTTGGCTTTCGACGTCCACCAGCAATTTGTTTTCATTTTTCCATTTATTATCTAATTTTGGATGTAAAATTCTGGTTAACTTGGGTGACGCTATTTATAGAGCAAGTCATTTTGTAACGAGTATGAAGTTAGTGCCATGAGAAGATTTTTTAGGGTTTTTGAATACGAAGAAAAATAACGCTATGGGACTGTGGGAAAAAGTAAAAGCACATGAAAGAAGGTGATCTGTTGTCTAGTCCAGTCTTTCAATGACCTGTGAATGTTAATCTAAGTCCGGAATTCTTCATATACTTCATGTAATTATATTTTAGTGATCAAACTCAATACTAAAGCCCTTGTAGAGAGTACATTTATTTCTAGAGTGCGGCATAAATATGACATCACTGTTAAAAGGCATTTTGAGAAATGTAAAGGTTCGGATGCAGCTTGTTTCATGGTTCTAACATGCGGCACAAACGTTTCAAAAAATCAGCTGTATCCGTGTTTGACAATTGACACACATCAGACACTGTGGAATGAAATCCAGCATGATTTTTCATATTTCTTTCAGGAACACTTCATTATTAGTGTCTGTGTGTATCTAGTTCATGCTCCTTTAGGATTTTGCTTACAGCTTTAAATGTCTGTACTTTGTGGTCTTCCCTCTACTGCCATTAATACCTATATTACTTGCAGGGGGTAAGCAAAGGGATTGTGGTCAAGCGCTTGCTCTCAACCATGCAAGAAAATGAAATATCACCTGATTTTGTGTTGTGCATCGGAGATGATAGGTCTGATGAAGACATGTTCGAGGTAATCTCCAGTTCCTTGGCTGGGCCTACCCTGGCACCAAAGGCTGAGGTATTTGCGTGCACGGTTGGCCGGAAGCCGAGCAAAGCCAAGTATTATCTGGATGATACAGCTGAAATAGTGAGATTGATGCAGGGACTGGCCTGCGTCTCAGAACAAACAGTTAAAAGAAAGGATGGTGAATGAATTGAGATGTGTTGTGCTTCACTGGCTTTCAGTCGTTAATTGTGAACATTTTAGGCTCAGTTTATGCTTCTTTCTTCCTCACACGGTCTTATTGCTTTCTTGATATTTCCATGTAAATTATAATAGTTGTTTGTTGCCGAGAGAAGCTCTGTATCGGATTCCCTTGGAATGTTTGATTTCAATTGGGAAAAACTTGTAAATATATTTGTTTTTCCACCATTAACTCGGAACCCTGCTTTGCTTTCCCACGTTATTTGATAATATCTTCCTTCTTATGATGGATACGTATACTCTGGTCTCTCCAAAGCTGTTTATTTGGCAAATGTAAATTATCATATCCAAAATGGCTCTTCTGATCAGTGTGAGCAACATAACTGTTCTTTCGCCATCCGTACTAATAAAACATTCAAAAGCATGACCTGGATGGGATTCATCTCCGGTCATGAAGCACTGCACGCTTTTTTTCATTTAAGTGTTAAAAATGAACCAAATGCCACCGTTAGAGACAACATTTTTATTTTTAAAAATATTTTTTTTTATTTTGATTAAGTCTAAATACAATTGCATTTTAACACATCCTACTTTTGCCGTGTAAATTATCAGAATTACTTGTACCTAGTTGATAAAGTAGCTCTATAGGTCTTCACTGAAATTCTCTTCTTCCCGATATTAATTTATCAATAAGGCATGCGGCGGCAAGCCGGACGACGCATTTCCGTCGCCTGAGCTCCCGAGTTCGCATCTCCAGTTCTCCATCAAGCTGGAGGTCAGACCCTGACCGGTCAGTTGTCCTTACTCGGTCGTCGTCGAGGCCGTAGTATAGAGGAGTTGGGCTCCCCGCTCACTTCTCTTTCCGCTCTCCTCTCCCTCATGTACTCACGCTACTCCTTTGGGTTAGTTTTTTTTTATCAGACTTTTGGGTTAGTTTGAGAGTTTATTGTCAGTGGGCATTCGAAACTAATAATTGAGGAACGCCTATAGTTTAATATGATGAAACCAACAACCATGATCCGAAGTTTGAACCTGATGTAAGGTTTGTGGACTTTGGTGCATTTGCCTGAGCTATCCACGTAAGATGGTCGACGATTAGTCTCCTGGACCTCGTGCATTGAGAGGCTCTTGGGCGTCGAGGGTGTTTTTTTTGGTTTCTACCGTCTTTCATATGGCAAAGACATAGATTGGCGATAGTCTCCAAATACAATTTACCTTTTAGACTTACTACACTCGTATAAATTCAAGGCCATATCATGGTTCTCTGTGGTTCCCAGTTGTGTACTTTTGGGTGACACATGAGATGCAAGCGCTGGTCAGTTCTGAAGCACTGTTTGCTTTGGACATTGATTGCTCAACAAGACACACGACAAGTCACGGTCGATTTTGTAACCCAATCTTGCGAATTGGAATCATTTGTTGCACTAACTGGTATAATCCAATCTTGCGCTCTATTAGTGTATCAAACCAGCCTCTCAAATCTTCAAATGAGTGTCGATGACTGTTTTTGGGTTCGCAAGTGCATTAGTATTAGTGACGTTTTTGGTCGGGATAAGGAGTATGTATTCAATATAAGATCAAACAATTCATTGGAGGCAAGTACATTTTATCAGCATCGAGGTGAGACCACAAAGTCGGGGCGGTTAATGGAGATCATGCTTGCCTGACTTTTTGGTCATATAAAAGAAAGATTGGTCGCTTCTGGTTCCTTGCCACATGCAGGACCATGAATGTCCAGTTCCAAGTCAAACATGACTTGGGCAAACTGAAGTTTAGAATTGTCGATCATAATCGTTGTTTCACCAAAAATCTCCACACGAACAATCTCCATTCTTGAAATGGTGGAATCTGCTACTATCCCTCACAATGATTTCCCTCCCAACAATCTTGGCTATAAATTTTATCGCCGTGTGGCAGTCCACACAAACCCGAATGTTCTTAATTACACGGATGGTTGTGCCAGCAGGAGTGCTAATTATGCCATATGCTATGGCAAGTCTTTCACTGTGGGTATGTAACAAGGATCGTTTTTGATCCTCTTCCACATCGTGGAGAACCTGATCAGTGTCAGCAACATAACCTTCTTTCTCCATCTGCTCCAATAACACATTCAATGCCTCACTTATTTTGTCATAATCTGGATGAGACTCGTCTCCGGCCATAAAACAATGCACATTGTTTCTAACCTCGATCCAGCTGCACGCTGGTGTCTTCTTCATTCCCCTCTTCCTCATTCGGATTCTCAATTTTGCAGCATCTTTCCATCTTTGGGCAGCTGAGTATGTGTTTGACATTAAAATATAAGCACCCATGTTTTCGGGATCAATGATTAGTATCTTGTCAACAACCTTTTCAGCTAATTCGATGTTCTTATGAACTCTACAAGCAGCCAGCAACGTTGACCACACACTTCCTGTTGGGGGTGGTGCTTTCATGCCTGAAATAAAGTCATAGGCTTCCTCCAACTTCCCAGCTCTACCAAGCAGATCTGCAACAGCAGCATAATGCTCCAGGCCAGGAGCAACACCGAAATCCCGTGCCATACAATTCAAATACTTCCACGCTTCATCTACCAATCCAGCATGACAACAGGCAGTTAAAACAGCCACAAATGATACATAGGTTGGCTCTACTCCATCTGCTAACATCTGCTCAAATAAGCTAACTGCATCGAGGGCATGGCCATGTAAAGCAAATCCCATAATGATGGCAGTATATGACACAATGTCATGCGTCTCTATTTTGTCAAAGATATGCCTGGCCATCTTAACGTTGCCACATTTAGCATACATATCTACCAGAGCACTTGCTATAAACTTGTTATGTTCGAACCCTATCCTAATTATACATCCATGGAGCTGCTTTCCCAAACTCAGGGTTGTCAAATGAGCACAAGCTGGTATGATACTTGAGAAAGAAACAGGCATTGGTTTGACTTTTTCCTTCAACATTTGACGAAAGAAACAAAGCCCTTCATCAAACTGACCATTCTGCACACACCCAGCAATAATAGAGTTCCATGAAATGGCATCTCGCTTAGGTAAGAGGTTAAAGACACAAAGCGAATACTCCGCTTGAGTACATTTGGCATACATATCAATTAAGCCGCTTCCAATGAAAACATCCGCATCAAACCCATGTTTGATGGCGTAGCTATGAATTTCTTTTCCTTTAATGACATCAGCATACTCGGCAAAAATTGGAAGAATGCTTGACAACGTGAAGGTATCAGGCTTCAAGTTTGCATTTCCCATCTCCCTAACCATGGTTAATGCTTCTACATACATCCCATTTTGTGCGTGTCCTACGATAACAGTGTTCCAGGAAACAAGATCCTTAATGGGCATCATCTCAAAAACCTTTCTGACACTATCTATTTTCACAGTATCCGTGTCTGCCATCACAATATTACTTTGATTAACGTGATCCAAAAAATTAACATCAGCATCACCTTTTCCATGAGAATTGATACCAAGGAACTGCCCCTCATAATTGTTCACTGATTTACATGAATGATTATAATCCAGGATCAAACTACCATCAGCTTCTCTCTGTACATTGCCTGGAAAAAAATGCATTCTTCCCCTCCCCTCTAATTCACCAGAAACTATTTCACCACTTGACCCACGCCTAAATAAATAAGTCTCGTGTTTAGCATTTTCCCTTTTTTCAGCAAATCGGTCAAGCATTTTCTTTGCAGAAAGATCGTTTTTACAAGACTTACCCAAACTCTGAAATTTTGAGTACATATTCATCAGTGCATTACCAGTGTATAAATCAAAATCCAGACCAAGACGGATTATGCACCCATGCACTGACTCACCCAACCTCAAGTCCTTCAGCAATATGCATGCTTTAAGAATAGAAGGAAACACGTGTTTATCTGGATAGATGCCCAATGCCCGCATCTCATTAAAGGATGCCAACGACTGAACAGAAAGGCCATGAGAAGTGTAGCATCTAATGATAGATTTCCAAGCTAGAGCTGGAGGAGACTGCAGGCTGTCAAATACACGAACTGAGTCTTGTAAATGGTTCAAGTTTGAGTAGATTGAAAGTACAATGGAATTGTCGGAGTGCAATGTTCCTTTAATCTTGAGAATTTGTGCATGAAATTGTTTTGCAAGATATGTGGAAGTGATAGTATTTGGGTTTCTTAGAATAGTTCTTATCAGGTTTTGAGATGAATCCATTGATCTAACAGGATTTTGAAGCAAACATTGTGGTGGTGTACTAATGAAGTTGGTGATTCAAATTTCAAATAAGCTGCAGCATGAAACCAATCTGACTGAAGACTGAATATGGCACACTACACGGCTTCAGTTTTCTGCTCCGTCAAGGCACTGCAAAACTTTAAGGATGATGCTAGTATCAACTTCAAAAGGGCAAGCTCAGGCAACTAGCTACCCAGTGAATTATTTGGATGACGAAAGGTGTGTAATGATCATACACAGACCAGTATTCTTCTTAAATTGCATTCTAACACTCAAACAAAGAAGCCACACGCTCAAATTTCCAAATTTATACGAGTTCACGGCAATCATTACAACCAAACATTGATTGATGGGTAACCAGTTCTCGAGCTCAACAGTAGGAGTTCTGGTACTTTACAGCCAAAATCATAGGTTTGTGATTGATTCAGAACACAAAAAGAGTGAACATGGCTAAATAAGTGATTCAGAAACGGACGCACGGAATTTTCCCACGTCCTCTAACCTGTTACAGCAATAACAACATGCTAACGATGGCTTCGTTCAGGAGTCAACGGTGCTAATACTTCATAAAAATGATGAGAATCTTTAAGCTGAACTTGTGAGCAACAACAAAAGCTCCGGCGGAGGGGGTCCTCTTCGTCGACGCCGATGGGGTCGTGCCCCCTCTTCTTCCGTGGGCAACTCAGGTGCTGTGCCACTGTGGCCTTTGGGTATGAAAATGGGCCGGGAAATGGTCTTCTAGTTGGGCCATCGTAAGAGGGCCGATGTTCAGCTTAACATTAATTGTTTGCGTCAATTGCCATTTTGGTTTTGTCTCTCTTCTTCTACTTCTTTTTTAACTCTTTTTTTGAGACCAACAAGTATTAGTCCAAGTGGAAGGGACTTGAACACTTTAAATATCATATTCTGGATTCGATTCTTGAGGTGATGTATATGAAAAGAATACTGTTGGGAGGGGTTCCCCCTACGACGCTTGACAGTATCCCGAGAGTTTAGTCTCTTACTGTTTGGGTGGGAGGATACTCTAGGGGAAAAAAAACGTTTTTTGGGATTCTTTTTCACTTTTTTTAAGCCGAAGAGGGGTCTTAACTCTTAAGACGAAAGACTCGAGTAAAAATGGAGACAAATGAGGGGAAATTATCATTTTACCTGTGTTGAAAACGTCTTCTTGTGATTTTTTAAAAGGAAATTTAAATTCATGGATGAATAGATAATGAGCTGATTAACGTGTCGAATACTTGCAATTAACTGTCAGTAGAAAGCATTGATTTGTCAGCTAATGTAACTATTTTTATTAATAAAATATTTTCAGTTCGAGAAAAAAATTAATGGGACGTTGATAGAAAATAAATATGAAATGTTGGCTTGTTGATTAAAATGCATAAATAAATATGAAATACAATTAAATCATGACATGGTGTCACTAAAGAAATGTCTTCTGATTAATAGAAAAGTCATCATAAGTACTCCTCCGATCCTTAATATAAGACCCATTTAACTACTTTGATTAGATTAAAGAAGTTAGATAAGTTAGTTAATTATAAGAAAAGTGACATATTTTTCCTAAAACACCATAATCATCTTTCTTAATACCCTTTCTCCCTCTTCTACTTGATTATGGTTGAGGTAGTATCTATAAGGGTAATTTAGAAAAAATTGATAAATATTAGAAATGAGTCTTATATTTAAAATCAAAACCAACTCAAGAATTGGGTCCTATATTAAAGACCGGAGAAGTATGATTACATGTAGGATAACAGGAGTCATTTATTAAAATGTCGAAATGTTTTTGTTTTACTCTCACGGATGGGAACGTATAGCTTTATCGTGTGATTAGGAAGATTGCCTGCCCCGGAAGGAATATTGCACCAAACACATATTTTTAATTAACTTTTAATACTCTTTTATCTTATATTTTTTATTAAAATTTTCAAAGATCAAGCTTTTAATTTTTTTAAATCGAGTTCATTAAAATTTTTCTTCCCCTCTTCTTCTCTTTCCCCCGTTTCCTTTCTACCAAACGGACCATTAGAGTTAATTAGAGATATTAAGTGAAAAAAATAGTACTTTAAACAATATTTCATCTTATCCATAATATAAGATATTAGTTAAGCTTTCTCACGAACCAATAAATGTTAGTTAAAATATTAAATATGTTTTAAATTAATAAAAATTGTGTATTTTATTCTTATTAGTGAATGTGATTGGAAAATTTTTTGCTCTCTTCTCTACATTTAAAACTCTCTCCTCTCCTTATAATTACTCCATCAATCTCTTGTCTTTTGAATCAAAAGTTTCTTCTAAAAGATTTTCTCATTATATGGGCCAGGAGTACATGTTATACTATCTTCAATCCTAATTATAAGACCTTATTTGTAGTTTATAAATAAGATTTTATAATCAGAATAGAACCCAAAGTAGTATAGTATGACGAAATATGTAAGAGATGCTTCCAACAAGAATTAAAGAGGCAATAGACGAGCCATTGGTGTGTACGATAGGATAAAAGCAGGATTACCCGCCTAGAAAGGAACAAGATAGCAAGTACACACAGTTGCCTTGCTGAGTGGGGGAGGAACAACCTCACATGAATTATAACTTGTGAGGATCTGCATTGTAAGCAACAACGTTTGCAACACGTAAGGAGGAAAAAAGGAACCAGACATGAGAAGGAAGGAAGGGAAGAGGACCATGACTAGCTTTGAATTGAAAGGACCAAGACTCAGTGATGTGGTCTCCAATAAATAAACCCAACCAAAGTGCCTCACTATTCTGGTTTTCCCACTTTGTGCTTGGGCTTTGACCCAGTCCCCCATCTCCACTGGCTCCACCTCAAGTCTTGTCTATATGCTCTCACCGTGTGAACTCTCTTTTTTTTCCTTCCCTGCATTATTATTATTGCCATCATGTGGTTCGAATAGAGCAGATAATGTCTTTGATTGGACGGGAGATGCAGAGTACCTGGCTGAAGCTTCCATTTATGCCTTCTAGTATCGTGCTCGTTTGAAAGAAGTTTTGTCTTTTAAGTCTCTGAAGTTTAAAATAAGTGATTTTAATTCTTAAAATTTTACTTTATTTTGATTTTGATCATTGAAATTTAAAACCAATAATTTTTGTCCTTGAAATCTGATTTCATTCTGATTTGCTTAAAAAATTTTGATCGTTGAAACAGTTTTTTTCTTGAAATAATGATCAAAACCAAAATGAGGTAGAATTTCATGAAACAAAATTAAGACGAGATCAAATCTTGTGAACTAAATATGATATCAATCCTGCTTGTTGTATACGTAATGTTAGATGAGCGTAACACCAACCTGTATACATTACGCCAATTTTAATAAATACTATGTCAACCCAAACTGTAAACTTTGTGTGGCTATAAATAACGGCTTGACTAAAGATTTAATGAAATGAGAATTACGGAGTGGTTGACAAGTTAGCCAAGAGACGACTCTTGCAAGTGGACGGATCGCCCTCGAAATAGCTTTAAATTTTGTTGATATTATTCCTGCTCAAACCAGCCTTGAAGGGGAAAAAAGAAGAAGTTCATTAAACACAGTATTGATCAAAGTTGAACCGAGATTCGGACCAATTCAAAGTAGTTTTGGCTAGTTTTCACGCTTTGTAATATACACGATGCAGTGACCAGATTGGAACACTTGGTTCCATTAACGTGGGTCGATGCTGTTAAAAGGGAAGAACGCGGTTCGATTCATAGAATCATTGAATGCTGACGAAGCCTCAGTGCGATACGACGCCTCGTTTCAAATATTTACTGTAATTTCATGACATTACGATGTGGAAATCCCAATGCTCTTCTTACAAATCAATGGGCTTCATCTGCTCTTTAGGCATTCAATAACTTGCTCCCAACAAACTTTTGGACAAATAAGATAAACCTAAAAGCACATTTTTAGCAGCACACGAGGCTAGTTTCTCCTAAGATAAACCTAAAATTCTTGTTGTAAGATGTGTTAACATTTTGTGTTTGATAGTGCTTGGAAAATGATTATCTTTATTGAGAAGATACCTATTAGTAGCAAAAAAAAACTTTATACTCTCTCTGTTTGTTTTTATAAGGAGCGATGTTTCTATATATACAAAATAAATATTTTTATTTAAAATTTTAAACTGATCTTTTCATTTTTACCCATATGTATAACTTATTATGTTTGTGCCACAAATTTTTACTCGATATCTAATTGTGAAGATGAGCGGTATTATACAGGATTTATGCCTCAAAAGCAAAAACGATTCTCTGTAGATATAACTTGTTTTTTAGGAGCTACTGTCATTTTATTGATCTTTTGAGAATAAAATGTCATTCTCCCTGTGAAATCAGAATTGCTCCTTTATTTGTTTTTCTTTAATCCCCAGTTAGTATTATCTGCTTTCTATTAATTTCTATCCAGTTGCAGGGTATCGGTTTGAATACAAGGGAGATTATAATTGACGTCTATGCGTCTACGTACACTTGATTATTACAAAAAGTATAATCCTTTTTTTTTTGGGGGGTTCCATTGTCATTTAAAATAATTGAGTGGAAAAAAAGCCCTTGCTCCTCGAAATCGTATCTGCTTTGATCTTCCTTTAAGAAAATATTCAAAGGTCAACAATTTAGTTTCAACTTGCTTGAATTCGGGAACATATAGTTAATGCCAATTACACAAAGGTAAATGACCTACTCATCCAAATTTTAACCAACACAAGTTAATTAGCAAAATAATACTAGTAGTAATAATAATAATAATAATAATATTCAACCAACAAAATTTAAAGAAATTGACTTATCGTCTTTTGACCATGAATGACATTAAAAAAAGAAATGGAAACCGTGTTGCCTGACAGTTATTTACAGAAAGAGTAAGGATAAATATATATATATATATATATTGTCAAAACTATACGTATATTTGTCTATTTTAAACTAAAACGAAGACAGTCCTTTTTTTAAAAAAATAGATTATATAAATAATTAGACCTCTTCCAAATTTTGTTCAAAATAAACCTTGTAGGTAAAAGGTATGCGTGTATATGATTCATTCTCCATTTATCAAAGAAAAAGTTAACTGAAAAATGGAAGGAAAATTTATTTATTTATTTTACATAACCTGAACACACAAATAAAATTAAGAGATGCAAGGAACATTTTAGTCATCTTGACCAATAATTGAAATCATACCCGGTCCACGTCATAATGGTCAATATTTTTTTTTATTTAAACGTTTTTTTGGTGGATGATTAAAGACTTGTAAAGACAAGGGGTGTTTTCTGATTGCGTTGCTGCTGTTTAGACAAGGGGTGTTTTGATTCGTTTGAGGTTTGATTGTGTGAAAGGTATTCGAAGTTTTTGTTGATTCGTTGGCTGTAAAAGGAATCACAAGGAAAGAATGAGGCTCTTTTAAATTAAAAGTTCAAAGGCTGATGTTGGAGTGCCCAGTCAAATCAACCACTGACTTCTATACATTTCCATTGTTTTACTTTTATCATCATCTTCCTCTTTAATTAATTGTTTCACTTTTTGATATTCATCCAAAAGTGCTCACCACTTTCCTAATGTTTTTTTTTTAGAAAAAAAATGTCAAAGAAGTAATATAAGGAGAAAATTACATAAGATTTTTTTTAAATTTTCCATCTATATTATATTCTGCAATATTATTATAGTTAATAATTTGACTGGGTGATTTAATTTTCTATTTTTAAGTAGACTCTTGAATGAAGACATACTACTTATTTTGGTAATTTAATTAAGACCCAATTGATTATATGTAAAAAATCGCGGATTGTTTTTAATAATAAAAATGTGTATGATTCCATATGCCGGTATTCTTGCTAGAATGGTATGCAAATGTAAATGATGTGTGAAGTCCCACAATAATTAATACTTTGGTCATCAATTAAGATGAAAATTTTCAAAACATCATTAAATTGCGGACCCAATTTAGATGGTCAAGAATTAGGAAGAGTCATCATGAAATACGAGGTTTGAATTAAAAAAAAAAACATTCAAACATTTCTTAGAAATTATAATCGACATTTAACAAAGACGTTTCTAAAATTTCATTGACTCTTATTTTCTTCCTTTTTTTTTTCCTCTTCCGGCATTGACTCTTATTTTCATTACATTCAGAATCCTAAACGTCACGTATAATTAATTCTAAACCCATATTCATTAATATTATGTTTTATTTTTGATAGGGGACTCTTTCTTTACGAGATTGTTAAATTATAGTAAAAGATCCTCATATTTGTTGTTTGTACTTAATTTTGTTCGTATCAATGACTAATTTAAATTTAAACATGATGAAGCTCTAGTTCGATTAAAACTCTCCAAACCAGCTTCCATAAGACTTGCACTCAATATCCCATAATATTGCTATCTTAGTATTTCAGTTTAATATCAATAATTGTTGGCAAAATTTTTTTAACATTGATAATTAGTCATATGCTGAATTTTATGTTGGCCGTATACATAAAAAACATTAACAGATAAAAATGAAAAACCGAAGATCCAGGAGTTAAGAACTAGTAATAATTAGAAATATTACTTATTAAATATTAATGTAACTTTAATGTATAAACAAGAGAAGCTGTACGCTTAAAAAAATAAAAATAAAATAAAAAAAGGCGGTAATGTACTTATATAATGATTGGCGCTTCGGCGGGGGTCAAAAACACTGAAACGGAAATGGGTGCAGGCATAGTACAGAAAGCTCTCAACAGCTTGGGCAAAGGCTTCGACCTTGCCTCTGATTTCCGTCTCAAATTCTGCAAAGGTGAAGACCGTTTGGTTCTTCTCAACGAAACAGAGAGAACGGACCTCGCGATTCCCGGTTTTGGACCCGTCTCCGATGTCTCCGTCGATGTCAAATGCGATAAAGGCGACCGCACTCGATACCAGTCCGATATCCTCACCTTCGCACAAGTAAGACATTTCATCGAACATCTCTTACGAATTTAATCAAATTCACTAGGTTTCTCACCAACGACCATCGATACAAATTGGTGATCAATAGATTTTCCACTTTTTGACTGGGTTGATGATCTGGTTTTTCATGTTGCTGACAGATGTCAGAGTTCTTCAACCAGAAAAGTTCCATTCCAGGGAAAATTCCGTCGGGGTTTTTCAATTCCATGTTTGGGTTTGATGGAAGTTCATGGGCAACCGACGCAGCGAACACCAAGTGCTTGGCTCTTGATGGCTATTTCATCGGTTTGTTCACCGTCCACATTGACCGGTACCCTCTGGTTCTGTCCGAAGAAGTCCTTCAAGCCGTTCCTTCTTCCTGGGATCCTCCTGCGCTCGCAAGGTAATGGATTTTTCATCTCGTTTTCAATGATGAATGATATAGAGAACATTAAAAGGGGAAAAATGGAAAAACAAAATGCCAGAGCCCGAGTGAAATTGATTTTGCACTGGAATTAACCATAGAGGTTCTCTTGTGGACATCAATTGTGCTTTTCATGGGCGCATCCATAACTTCAATTGGGGAAAAACCGGATTATAGATGAAATTAACACTTTCTTTTTGTTCAACAGAGATGAAACATTTTAATCTTTCGACTTTCTCCGATAAAAATAATATAAACTTCCTCGAATGAAAAAAGCAGAAAGGCTTAGACTTTTAGAGATCTTAATGCAATCCTAAGATTCCTTCAGCAAGTATATAACCTCTATGACGAAAAAAAATGAATCTTGATGATGTAAAATAAGATCAATATATAATTAGTTCTAGTGCATAGTTAATAACTAATGATAATGTAGTTTAGAACTTGAGTACCCGTTTGAAAGGGAAATTAAATTGGCTAACTACCAGCGAAGAAAGGTCAAAGTAGTAGGGACAAATTGTAACCTAACTTGCTTAGCCGTCGACGCCTCTGGGTGCAAAAATTTCCACATTTGCTAAGACGTGGCCAGATGCGCGATCCGCGCTGCCATACAATGTTTCGCTTTCATAATGATTTTCATGTTATTGTCTCTGTGGTCTGATCTATTTTATTTTATTTTTTTTTTTTTGGTAAGGAAAGGTGATCTATTTTATTTTATTTTATTTTATTTATAACAAATGTCGACTTCAAGTAGTTGTCGATTTAGAATAATTTTTATTTAGATAAACACAAGCACTATAATCGTTTTTTTTATAAAAGATAAACGTTTACGCATATGTAAAAACATGTATATTTAGAACAAATCAACAAATAGTTAGGTTTAAATGTAAGATTGAGCCTCAGATTAGTTTGGCAGAGTTGATATATTTATTATTGTCAAGGTCAAAAAATATTTTAAGGGGAAACATTTTTAATTGATTTCTTACTCCCCCCATGACTTGTCACGTTTAATGTTATTTTGAATTTGTAGAGGATAAAATTGGTGGGATCTTTTCTATTTTCTTTCCTGGATTTCTATTTATTAAGATCTTTTATTATATATGATCATGTGATAAATTGATCCTCCCAAGAACTTAGCTGTGATGCATGCAATCCCGGCCCCTGTGGCTCTTTCTTCGGAAACAAACTTTTGACATTTGGCCCCTGCTTTTCTCGACTTATCCTTTTGAATTTGGTCATGACTTCAGGATTATGGACCTATTCTTCTTGTATGAACACGTCATTTGACCTAAATATTTGATTTAATTAACTAGAAGTCCTCTCCAATTATTATTTTTTGCTTTGCTCAAAACTCGTACTTTATTGTTTATGTACTTTTTTCACAGCTAATGACCATCCAGCTTCGAGCTTCTATAGATTATATATATTGATGATTAAAGTATGACAAGGTAAACTGTTTGAATAAAATAGCATTATTTAAAAAATTTAATGGATTTTTAAAATTTAATAAACAAGTCAATGGAGAATACTTATAAACGTTTATATATAATTTTTATGTAACCAGTGTGATATTTAATATATGGCGTCCGAGTAACGATTCCAAAATTATTTTATATTCACCATAGGTTATAGAAATTAGAAGTGAACAATTCCTCGGGTTGAAATCCTGCTACAGTTGCCCAAAAATTTGAGGGGCCGTGGGAAGGTGCGACTTTTGATAGGAGGATAACTGAAAGTCAATCCTTTATGAATTATGATAGTCTGAAAATGGCTGTAAATTCATATTCCTTTACTTTCATATTCAAGAAAGAAACGGTCAGATTGCGGCCATCAGCTGATGGTTATTTTTCAATATTCAAAGCTGTATAACTGCTTGGATCTTGAAGCGTTTGAAACCTTGTGAAATGCTGATTAGTAAACATTAATATTCAAAATTCAAAATTCTAGTAAGTGCAGTTGCAGCATTCCAGCGAAATTGCGCCAAAATTTCAAGCCTCACAAGTGGCTGCAAAACAAGGAAAGATATGAGAATAGCAGATTCTAGATTACTCTCAAGTTTGAACCTTCACTGTGCAGCGATTGACTCAGTAACCTGGTGACTTGAGTTGGAATGGATTTTATATTTAGTTGAATATGATCCTCAAGGACATTGTTCATATAGTTTGACATGTTCTGCGTGGGTACTTAAAAATTAAGATAATCTACTAATTTAAAGTTTTATTTGATTCTACCCGATCAGACTAGTTCTAGTGTATATTCTTAATTTTTTACAATTCAATTAACAAGTTGGTATTTCGAGGTAATTTAGAAATCCCATCCAGTTTAATCCAATCAGGTGAGTTAAACCAGGCGATTCCTGGAATCCATTTTGTTAGGGTGATACTGGCCAACAACTGAATTTTCCTCTTTATTTTTTCAATCTAGTTGTTAATGACTACGCCTTATAGATAGAAAGAGCAAAATGCCTTAATATTTCCTTTTAAAGAATTTTGTTAACCTGCGTATAAACGGATGATTCTGCCTTTTATGGACAAGAAAGCCCCTGAAATGTAGGAACAGAAGTTTCTCAACTTCTGAATTTGCTTGTATGTATAGTTGTATAATCAAAGGTACTATGCTTGTCAGATTCATTGAGAAGTATGGAACTCACATCATTGTGGGACTTGGCGTTGGGGGTGAGGATGTGGTGCTAGTTAGGCAAGATGCGTCTTCTAATTTGGACCCATCAGATCTCAAGAAGCACTTGGATGATCTTGGAGATCAACTATTCACTGGGACATGCAATTTCCTTCCAAATGCTAAAGAGCACAAGTGCAAGGTTCTCCCTTCGCATTATTTAAGCTTCCATTTTATTCAATTAAGAACCCTCAACAACTAACGATTTTCTCCCCTGGTTTAGATTTTGTGTTGAGCGATGACAATGATATGCTGAAAATGCAGGTACCACGGGCTTTTGATGTTTTTGGTCCACAAACTGTTGCCTTCAATAGTTGCTCATCTATTAGTTCAAAAGATGTAGGTTCTCCCTCTTAGCCCAACTAAGCATTTCCCTGTCAATCAACATTTGAATTCTTCATAATCAAAGTACAAAAAATGCGTCATTTCAGCTTTCAACCGATTACGTGATTAATGGACTTCAAAGATTGATACATGCAGGGAATTACTGTGATATGTTCTAAGAGGGGAGGGGATACCCAAGTGAGCAACCACTGTGAATGGCTTCTCACAGTGCCTGATAATCCGGATGCTATTCAGTTTAGCTTCATTCCCATCACTTCACTTCTTAAAAATGCTCCTGGCAAAGGCTTCCTATCGCATGCCATCAACCTCTACCTCCGATGTAAGTGGATTTTTATATCTTCTTTCTCTAGGAAAGTGTAAAATGCAATACATTATAATGAAGGCAGCACCGAGTTTTCATTGACCACATAATTAATATGCAGATAAGCCGCCTCTCTCAGAACTGCCATACTTTCTTGATTTCCAAGCATATAAAGTTTGGGCTCCCATTCACAATGATCTGCCCCTTGGTCCAATGGCAAATAGAGCTACCCCCTCACCTTCTCTCAGCTTGAATTTGATAGGTCCTAAGCTGTATGTAAACACTGCTAAGGTATTCCCTAAGCATTTCCATTATTCCCAAAGTACCAAATATTATAGGCCTGGTTGCACGTTCTGGTGCACCTATTGTTCATTCTGAAATATCCAATCTAAAATATTTACAACGCAGGTAATAGTGGGGAAAAGGCCTATTACAGGGATGCGCCTGTTTCTCGAGGGCATGAAATGCAACAGGTTAATTTTACTGTCATTTTAAGTAGTACTTTTTATACCACTCAAACCCATTTCCCTCTTTCCATTTCATAAAGTAATCATAATTAAGCGAGTTTATGCTGAGTATATATAGCACTTACATGGGTGTTTGTTGGTGACACAGATTAGCTATACACTTGCAACATCTACTAAACACTCCATTGATGCTTGAGAACAAAATACAGGACACAGCCATATGGTCAGAAGAAATTAGTGATGAAAGGTACTTCGAAGCTATCAATGGAAGAAAATTTTCGCATGTGTGCACGGCACCAGTGAAATACAACCCTAGATGGTGCTCCGGGAAAAAAGATGTGGCCTTCATTGTGACAGGGGCTCAGCTTCATGTGAAGAAGCATGACTCAAGGAGTGTCCTCCATCTCAGGCTATTATTCTCTGAGGTGTCTCGTTCTGTTGTTGTACAGTCAAATTGGACAAGATCCTCCAGTGAGCTTTCCCAGAAGACTGGGATTTTCTCAGCAATAAGCACATCAATTTCTGGTAATAAAGATCAGAAAAAACCAGCAGTGGTTGTGGATTCTGGCGTGTTCCCTACAGGACCTCCAGTTCCAGTACAAAAACAAAAGCTTCTAAAATTTGTAGATATGTCACAGCTATGCAGGGGCCCACAAGATAGCCCCGGCCATTGGTTGGCCACTGGAGCAAGATTGGTCTTGGAAAAGGGTAAAATATGCTTAAGTGTCAAGTTCTCTTTGTTGAACACTGATTCATGAAAGTTGAAAGACAGAAATCACCACATATACATCCCAAAAGGGCTACATTATGTGTTCATACTTCAGACTCTGTGCTGCTTGATAGAGGTAGTTAATAGGCTCAATTATACTTCACTTTTGTAACTATATGTAGCATAATACTGTGCAGCTCAATGCCATGTTGGCTTCATACGTTGTATTTATTCTTTTATTCTTTCGCACAAGCCGGGACAGTTTTATACAAGATTGTACATTTTGGAAGAAAAATAGCATACAGATTCTCGCAAATCACCCTTAGGTTGACTTGAATTTTATACTAGTTTCTTAAAGAAATTGAATATATGAACGCAAGTACATAAAAAATTGTACACCGGATCTGGATTTGGTGCAACTTGTCCATGTGTGTGCGTTTTTATTTTATTTTATTAGCAGTATTATTTGATGTATGCACATTTATTTCTCATCTTCTGTATCTGCGGGGCGGCAGAAAAAGGATGAAACAATTTTCTCACATATTTAATGCGTGTTGATCTCACGTATGCATTAACACAACCATTTTTTCCTATTGAAATTAAACGCAAAAAAAAAAAAATCAATCCCCCGGCCCCGGGGGTCCCCGTTCGATAAACTCGAAGATTTTTCTTTTAAAGAACTCAAACAAATGACCAATTTCCTTTAGTTTTGTGTGCTTTATTTTTCTACATTTTTTAAATTTCTATCCAGTTGCAGGGTATCGGTTTGAATACAAGGGAGATTATAATTGACGTCTATGTGTCTACGTACACTCAATTATTACAAAAAGTATAATCCTTTTTTTTTTTGTCTGAACTTTTTTTTTTCCGGGGTTCCATTGTCATTTAAAATAATTGAGTGGAAAAAAAGCTCTTGCTCCTCGAAATTGTATCTGCTTTGATCTGCCTTTAAGAAAATATTCAAAGGTCAACAATTTAGTTTCAACTTGCTTGAATTCGGGAACATATAGTTAATGCCAATTACACAAAGGTAAATGACCTACTCATCCAAATTTTAACCAACACAAGTTAATTAGCAAAATAATACTATTAGTAATAATAATAATATTCAACCAACAAAATTTAAAGAAATTGACTTATCGTCTTTTGACCATGAATGGCATTAAAAAAAGAAATGGCAACCGTGTTGCCTGACAGTTACTTACAGAAAGAGTAAGGATAAATATATATATATATATATATTGTCAAAACTATACGTATATTTGTCTATTTTAAACTAAAACGAAGACAGTCCTTTTTTTTAACAAAAAATAGATTATATAAATAATTAGACCTCTTCCAAATTTTGTTCAAAATAAACCTTGTAGGTAAAAAGTATGCGTGTATATGGTTCATTCTCCATTTATCAAAGAAAAAGTTAACTGAAAAATGGAAGGAAAATTTATTTATTTATTTATTTTACATAACCTGAACACACACACACACATAAAATTAAGAGATGCAAGGAACATTTTAGTCATCTTGACCAATAATTGAAATCATACCCGGTCCACGTCATAATGGTCAATATATTTTTTTTTATTTAAACGTTTTTTTGGCGGATGATTAAAGACTTTTAAAGACAAGGGGTGTTTTCTGATTGCTTTGCTGCTGTTAAGACAAGGGGTGTTTTGATTCGTTTGAGGTTTGATTGTGTGAAAGGTATTTGAAGTTTTTGTTGATTCGTTGGCTGTAAAGGGAATCACAAGGAAAGAATGAGGCTCTTTTAAATTAAAAGTTCAAAGGCTGATGTTGGAGTGCCCAGTCAAATCAACCACTGACTTCTATACATTTCCATTGTTTTACTTTTATCATCATCTTCCTCTTTAATTAATTGTTTCACTTTTTGATATTCATCCAAAAGTGATCACCATTCTCCTAATGGTTTTTTTTATAGAAAAAATGTCAAAGAAGTAATATAAAGAGAAAATTACATAAGATTTTTTTTTTTAATTTTCCATCTATCTTAATACGTGTTGATCTCACGTATGCATTAACACAGCCATTTTTTCCTATTGAAATTAAATGCAAAAAAAAATGATCAATCCCCCGGCCCTGGGGGTTCCTGTTCGATAAACTCTTGAAGATTTTTCTTTTAAAGAACCCAAACAAATGACCAATTTCCTTTAGTTTTGTGTGCTCTATTTTTCTACATTTTTTTTTGTATATCATAAAAATATTAATTGCAGCTTGAAAAAGAAGGGATTTTTCAGCATATTTGCCCAATTGCTTAGATCCTTTGTCATATCTAAATATCAAACCATATTATTGCGAACTACCTTTGATTCTAATTATAAGATCTCGGTTATAATAAAGTCTTATAATTAAGACTGGAAGTAATATATTATTGATGCCGTTTTAATAACAAGTTGCACCAATTAGTTACAGATCCATTTACTTATACGGAAAAGGGAAAAAAAATGTTTGAGGAACATCAAATAAATTAACAGATGCTTCTGCCTTCTGGTTTTATTTTCATTGGGCTGAAGCCCCTTTGCTTCTCTAAGTTTCCTACTCTGTATAACCCAATAAAAATTAATTGGTAATTATCCAACCCAAATTATGGTTTACCAATAAAAATGGCAACTTCTTTTGAACGATCGCAATCATCATCAAGCACGCTCTCAATCAAGGACAACCACCTGCAAGAAAAAGGTTACTGGCAAATATTATTTATAAGTTACTTCCAACATATTTTAGACAGATAAAAAAAAACCTTAAATTTCATTAACTCATTTAAAATTTATCAACTTTTCAACTTTATCTCTATTTAGTATATATTATAACTCACATAAACAAAGTCAATACCAATGTTTTAAAAACCGGACCGGATATTGAACCGGAAAGACTAACGGGTCACGGTTCATATGGTTGGACCGGTTGAACCGATGGTCAGACCGGTAATGTAATAATTAAATAAAAATAATATTATATACTTATAAAATAATATATGCATTCAAAAATTAAAGTTATTATTTTAAAAATAAACTTTAAATAAATTTAGATGACAATAATGTAGTAAAAATGCATGTTTAATTTATATTAATTAATAAAAAAATTAAATAAAGAAACCAACTGACAAAAAAAAGAAACAAAAAATGAGGGAAAATGTTTAAACAAGTAGGGAGAATTATAATAAGTTCTCAAAGAAAAAAAATCAGTACTAAAAAATTTCAATAACAACTTAAGTAACTTATAATGATAAATCTTAAAATAAAAAATAATAATTTCTGATATTTATTTTGTAATTATTTTTTTTTAAAATCTCATTATAATTCTTCTATTCCCAACTTAAAAAACGTCTGGAGGTATTCTATAAAAGGCTAAGAAAATTCTCAACTAAAAGAATAAAAAAATTGGCTCGGTGAATGTGTGTGGCAGTAATAGCCTGATGGGTGAGAAGTCAAATTTATTTACATTGAAAAAAGAAAAAGGTGAGGCAGTAAAACGTGCTTCCAGTTCAGCTTCTTTGCTCCTGTCCTTTCAAACGATAACCTCTTCGCCATTTTTTTTCCCTTCTTCACCCGAAGTCCTAACTCCAGTTGTTCGAACTTCGAACTCCAGCATAGTCATAGTCGACAGCCATGGATAGTTAAATGGTTCAGGTTCTGTTTGATTTTTTTGCTAATATTTTTCATTATTTCTATTATTATAAAAAAATTACTGGGTAATTTCTGGCTGGTTTTTCCTTCTCCCCTTTCTTCCTGGTCCTCCTCCTCATTCTCCTTCACCTCCAGAGCCTCATCCGGCGACCTGTTCGGTTTTTCAAAAACCGTTCCGGTTCCCGGCTTAACGACGGTTTCCGGCTCTAAAGCCGGTTCTTCCCGGCTCAACCTTTAAAACGGTTTTCGACGAAAAAACGAGCCGTTTGGGATTCCAGTCGCCGGTCCGGCCGGTCTGACCGTCCGGTCCGGTCCGGGTTCAAAATCATTGGTCAATACAATAATAAATAAAAAGTAAAATGCCCCGTAAATAAATAGAACCAAATGAGTATAATAACAACTATTCCATAAATTCCGATCTCCACCTTCATCCTAGAAGCTTAATACTCTAACCGAGTCTTTATAATTCAAAGCATTTACCGTTTTAAAAGGAAGCTGATCTCAAACTTTTCAAAGGATCAATCCACACACATATAATATATACCTTCACATGTTCTTCATTTTAGCATACCAAAAGTAACAAGACAGAAAAAAGGACGTCAAGGGAGGGCATTGAAGGAGAACAGATGCTAGTTTGTGGCGCGCAAGCATCGCATAGTCTTCGATCACTTAATGTGATCCCCCCCCCCCCCCCCCGAGGGAAACTTCAGTCAGCGGAACAACTTTGAGCATAACTTTCATTTTCCGAGGCCAAGTTCAAAGAAGAAATCTTGAAGAAACTTGGACGTGAAAAAGCTTGTTTCTCCCTCGAACAACACAACATGCGCATCGCAGGATATGTGATCCGCTGCTTGGAACAAGTTCATTACACGAGGTAGTGCTTCGAAGGTGATAAAAAAAATCCCTTTCTTTCATGCATGGTTACATTAATATTCATTGATATCGATGCAAGTAATGATGTTAACTTGTATTATTTATACTAATATTAGGGTTTGTTGGATGAATCAGAATTAAATTCCAAACGCAGTGGAGATGAGAAAGCTGATCGAGGCGAATGGAGCTCAACGATCCCGCGCCATATGGTTGAGACCCACCAGCAACGCAAACTCGTATGAGGGCAGCCATGGAAGCTGCTCTCACCACTCACTCGCGTCGCTGAACAGCTCTTCCACCATATAAATCAACAGATCCTGCACATTCGATTCGAGATTTAAAGCGCAAAAAGAGATTTTTGGTTACAGACTCGATTTACAAATGTGTCCATGGAGAAGATAGGGGTACATATGCGCGCGCGGGGGATTACTGATTGGTTTCCTCCTCATCAATTTATTTAACTTACAAATCGAGCCCACTTATCCAAGAATATTAGTTTGATTGATTTGGTTTTATTGAGCATTTTTGTCGAGTGCTCATTCTGGTTTTTCATCTTTGTGCCCCACCCTTTAGGATCCATCTCATGGTTTGCTTTGATTTGTGGTTTTCCCCATGAAACTAAGAAATTAGAAATTGTTTTGGCCAAAAAAAAAAGAAAGAAAGTTAGAAATTGCCGAAACTGTTTCAAGATATTACTGTAGAATATGTACCTGGTGGTCAATTTACGGGATTTAAGATCTTATTATGGTAATATTAATATAATTGCAAAACCATTAGTTTGTCTTCTTTATGCCTATATCAAGAACCCACAAAATCAGCATATGACTAACTGTTTTCTTTATTTTCACTACGGTTCTTGGAAACTTATTTGAAATTAAGTTTTTTACCCCCTGACCAAATGATGGTATTGTCCCTCCCTCACCCTCCCTCTAAACAAGAATACGACACACCGGCCACCAGAAACAGATTTTTACTTGCAATTTGCAAACTGTTTGTTAGACAACAAGTTTCCTTGTGTGGGCGTGTGAAACCAGCAGAAAAACTTTCGCGCATTAAGAAATGAGGATTCAAAAATATAGAAAGAAAACCACAAGCAGCCATACATACATTAATTAGCATGAACAACTTGTCTTGATCAAGACATCAGTACAGACCATACACACACACACACACACACACACAAACATACATAAAACACTCGAGTCCACTCAAGGTTACGTTCAAGTTAAGTTCACACCTTGCTATATATAACTTAGATGAACACTACAGTCTCCAGCTAATGCTGCAGATTCGATGAGATGCAATGCACCAAGTTCAAGTTGTCAATACAGACGCAGCCCCCTGCTAAACGTGCGTTCCAAGGAAGATAGTTGAAGAGACCATCTAATGCTGGCTTTCTCCCTCTTGATTGTGACAAGTTTATCATAAACACACCATGCGAAGCTTAGGAAATGATCCCTGTTCAACCCTTCATTGTAGCAACCCCAATAACTTGGATGATAGGTAACATAGTACCAAGCAGATGCTTTTGCCATCAGATCTTCCTCCCCATAATCTTCTGCACTTGCCGGGCTGTTGAACCAGGTTCTAGCTTCTTTTCTTAGGGATCTCACAGCCATTGTAATTGCTTCTGCATCCCTTCTTCTGGTAAAGGATTTGGACATTTTCATAATATTCCCACTCAGGATTTCAGCCTCAGTCTTGATGCCATAGTAATCCATCAAATTCCCCAACTTGAAGTCATAGTTGGTTTTGTGATAGAAAGCATCATCAACATAATCCATAAAGCCATCGACTTCCATATCAGAGTCATACGACTTTCTAGCCTTTTCCCTAGTGAAGACTGCGGTAGGGTTAGCTTCTGGTGCAATTTCTTTCACTTCCCTAAAAAGCTTTCCGATCACATTCACTGATTCATAGGTGGGTTTATCGGGTTTCTCCATGAAGTCTGGATATTCTTTGACATACAGCTCACGAGGTATAACAGCTGGGACACCAGTTTTGGGAAAGTCAACAGCAATCGAAAATAGCTTTGCAAGCTCAATGCATGGTTCAGCCATTGCCTTATTGGGCTCTCTATCTGCGAAGACAGTGTGGGCATTTGCAATTATTCCTAGACTGTCATTGACTAGATAGTTGACAAAGTATTCCTCAACCTCCTGCGACAGAAAAAGCAAGCATCTCAAAAGGTTATGCCTTAATTAATCTCGTAAGTGGATCTAAAAGCAATTTCTTTCACTTCCCTAAAAGGCTCGCAGGAGCGGAATTACTAAAATTAAGGTTGGTTGAGTAATTACTAATTAATTTAAAGGGAAATAATAAATGTAAATAGAAATATAAAACAGAGGGGTCATAAGAGATATGAAATATTTATATCTTACTGCGCAAATTGGTAAATTTGGGTCTCCAAACTAGAAAAAAGCTAAAGAAAATCTCAGACAACTGAATTTCCACGAGGCAATCAATACAATAGCATAATTTCCGAACATAGGAAGACTAGGTAAACAGAAAGACTATAAGATTTCTTCTTAGACGGAGATGACATATTACAGCTGGCTCTTCCTAACAAAATCAGGAAAATATGTCGACTAATCCTACAAAATAAGAAATCCAACACCGGCGAACTCAGTCTGAGGAAAACCATTATGAGTACTCAAGAGGAAACCAGAATAATGATATTTTTAGGTCCTGAATGTCCAGAAATTAAGAAATAGTTGGTGGACTTTTTGCCACATTCAACATTGTGTTGCATTTGCAGGTCATAGGCTGCTTTTCCTAAGGACTCTAGTACGAGACCAAAAGAAATCTTCAATGGAATTCCTACTCATACCATGGATGCAGCAATCATATTGGTCTACTATCTTCTCATGTCATCTCCTGGCTGTAAAAGCTGGTGCTGTGGTTCAACATTTCGGTGACATATACTTGTTTCTTTCCCCTTTAACTTTTTCTCAAAACGAGATGCCTTTGCATGAGTCATTGAATTAGGACCAAATGACCAAGAAACACATTTTACTACCCTTACATCATTGGAAAAAGTGAACTCCTATTGGCTTTATTTTATACCCCCTTAGTACATCAATCATACGTGTACAATTGTATGCTTATTAAGAAAAGAAAGATCATTTTTGAGGAAAACTGAGTATGAGGCATCTTTCACAGTTTATGTATTTGTAAGCCTCAAATCATGACACTCAGAAATATTCTGAAATATATGTAAAATATGTTTGAACTAAAACAAATATAGGTGTTGTCCCACTCAAATCCTGGTCATCCCATAAAAAGGAAAGAAAGATGAGTCGCCACCAAAATTTTAAAAGGTTAATTTTGGAAATCTAAACAATGTGATCTAGGAAAACCGGATAGAGCTCAGGAGTCAATTGTGTGTGAGGAAAGTGTTAGGCAGTCGTTCAAGAAAACGGTTACCCTAAATCAACTACTCAAAATTAATATGACTTTTTTGTTATATTTTAATTACCATAAAAAAAGATAGAAACAAAGATTGTTTTTTAATTTAAAAAAGGAAAAAAATAAATTACTTATGAAGTTAGACTTGATCTGAGATAAAAACCTAGGGCCTACGTATCTTTTAGAGGGATCAAAGCCCAAGTAGTTTGGAGATAAAAATGTGTGTCACTTTGTTGGTATTTTTTAGAAAATATTTATTCAATTAAAAAAACATGTTTTTTATGGGTTGGTATTTTTTTTAATATATGAAAACAATTTTTGTATTTTTATTTAGAAAATATTTTTTGAAAGAAATTTTGGATTACCCTCTTTGCGGAGGTTCCCATAACCTCACACAGAAGAATAATCATTCGAACCTGTGGGGATCCTAAAACTCCCACATGATTCTAAAAAACATTTTGAGATTACATATATACATATTTACAAAGGGACTTTTTATTTTATTATTTATTTATAAACACAGGGCCAAAATTATTTTCTTTCTTTTTATTTCAAAAAGAAAATTTGCACAACCACAACTACATGGGTATTCGTGCAGAGACTTTCATAATCTCACACGGTTTACTAATGAATCTAGATACTTGTGGAAGTTTTGAAAACCTCACACACGGTATAGATTTTAAAAAAAGAAGCGCTTTCGAAACAAAAAGAAAGAACACTCAAAAGTAATTCAACATGAAAATCAAGTTAAACATAATAGATAGGAATGAAAATTCATACTTGATGATGCACTTATCAATTGGCTTAAAAAAGAATACATTATATAATAAGCCAATAATAAAAAACTATATATACATATTAGCACAATGACATGGACAAAAATAAAATAAAAAAGAGAAGAAAGTAGATATCAAAGTGAATATATATGGGAGATAATAGATAACGGCATATTTTGAACAAATCAAAGAGAATGAGAGTATTGAGAATTAACTAAAATCATGTTTGATTCAACCCTCTAGCCATCATTGTTCAAGTGCACAAATGTGATAATAACTACAAGAGTGTAGGCTTACCTTAGGTAGAAAAAAGAAGAAGATGAACAATGAACTTTTCTCTAGTTAGGTCTCTTCTCTCTTTCCCCAACCCACCTCATTATCATGAAATAAAATAATCAAAAAGCTCTCTACCTTGCCTCCTTTTTCACCGGAAAATTCTGAATGCCTTCCTTTAACCTCTACTCTCTTATTTATAGGCTCCACCTAGGATTTTTCAATTTTTCTCTAATTTTTGTTTTTTAATTTTCCTCAATTATGACTCATAATGTAACTTCCTATTTAAGCACCAAATCATCATCAATTGTGATTTTTTATTTTAATTTTCGTTTTTTAGAATTTTCACAATTATGACCCTAAAAGATATTTCTAAATTGAGGAGTTAATCATCTTAAATGAGAAATTTTTACTTCATTTTCTGATTTTTCTTATTTTCCTTTTTAATGTGTCCACCTCACATTTTTTAAATTAGATGTCAATTGGCTCTTAATTCTTATATTTTATTTTATTACTATTCATTGTAAAAGGGATATTCTTATTTAATTTTCTTTTTTTGATTTGCCACATGGTAGATTTCTCAAACTTAACCTTCAAGAAAGAATAAAGGAGGATATTAATCTTTTATTATTCTTTTTTTTAATTTCATTTATATTTAATATTTTTTGTGGGTTTCGGACAAAATTGAGTGTTCACATATGTGAAACCCTCCTTAACAAGGTGAACATGGTCCAGGCTAATGGCGATACATTCTTTGCAGTATTGGCGATGAGAGGATCATAGAAAAGTGACTCAATATGGACTCATTAGACATGATCAATTCCAATGAAATCATGGAAAATAGTCATGACATAATGACAGCAAGAGGATAGTTGAATCCAAGAGAACAATACCTCCATCATGACATCATGATCCAATTGTACGCTTTGGGCCGGAGTATAATCCATTGGTGGGATTTGGCGCGGTGGAATTAACTCAGGGTCCCAGCAAACGAAGTAGATGTCTCCATCGAGATCACTTCCCGAACACTCATTGGGATGAGGTCTTGTATCGAAAGTCAATTATGGCATCAGCAGACAAATTACAAAAGTAAATTTAAAATATCCAAGACAATACCAAGGAAAAAAGCCACATCAACTTACTAGAGAATTCATTGACAAATAACTTAACAAACATAGCTCTTCCGTATGCGAAAATATTCAACGCCTCATTAAATGAAATGGTTTATGACATGAACTAATCATACTCCAGATTTACTTCGACATAAACAGAATGTTGCAAAACAGGTCAGGTATATTCCGGTGCATGTAAGACAGAAAATAGTTGAGAATAGAAATATTTTAATAGCATGTATAGTGCGTGCATGCACACATGTATATCTTCTGCATACACTATGATTTGAGCCCACATATGTTCCTATAAAATGATATCAACTGTGTAAAGTAATATAAATGCAATGAAATAAGCTTACCTGGATCCTTTCTGAGGGAAAACAACACAATCGACCATGTGATGAAGAGCTGGTACATTAACAGCCTTCAAAACACGCACATCACCGGGATGCAAGCATGGGTTTTTGGCAACAACTACCTTACCTGTAACTATATAAGATCTCTCAGAGCCATATGCAACAGAACCATTAGACCATGGCATGGACCTCTTATCAGAATATTGCACAAATACTTGACCATATTCCAAGGTTCTCGTTTCATCTAGGCATCCCATCATTGCTCTTCCGTTTGGCAAAATAATTCTAGTTTTGCGTCGCAATTCCAATAGCTTTGATGCCCTGAATGTTTGCAGCATCATTGAAAGAAAAGGTTCTGCATCAGGCTTATAACCGCAGATGAGCATCTCCTTCAGAATATGAGATATCTCCCCAGCAGAAATCAAGTCCAGAGCCTCCTGTGCCTTTAATGAATCTGTTAGCAACGAGTTCAGTTCGTTTATAGCTTCCTTCTGCTTTTTCTCAAAAACATGATCCTTGACACCAAGAGTAGACAAGAGCGTGATTATCTGCCGATTCAGATAACAAGGCTGAAATTTACTACATGCCAAGACATCTAGTTTTGTATTATCCGATTCATACTTGAGCATGCTCCTCCTCAGAGATAATTTCACCGACGATGTCGGGTCAACAGCCACAACCCCTTTGAACCCACCATATCGAATCTGAAAGGCAGATGGAGTGGATGATTTATGGCCACATTTCATAGCCACTTTCCTCGCAAATTTAGCAGAAATCTTCCCAATCCCATCAGAGAAAATATTGTCAATTCCCTCACGTTTTACCACCACATCAGGAATCATCTCAGTTTCATCCTTGCTAACACTTAAAGTTTCAGTAGATGAACCAAAAGATTGACCCAGTCTAGCAGCATATTTAGCTACATTTCTAATGGTGCGAAAATCCCCATCCACTCTCTAATATCAGCAGCATTAAGTCCACAGCTTGTAGGAGCAAACATCCATAAAGAATTCTCCCGCAACTGACTTGACGAGAATGCTAGAAATTCAAACTTTTTGTCACCAATTACTATGCCATTTCTAAGGATGGAAAGAATTCTTTTATATATCTCAGTTTTTCTTTGCCCGCTAGAAGAGGTACGTGGAGATAAATCTGTTGAAAACAGTTTATCCAGCTCCTCGTCAACGAATGAAACGCGTAGGAAGTTATCAATGAACTGATGGAAATGGCGAAGGACACGATTTGAGACATTAACCTCTGGGCCGCAGAAATACACTTTACAAGGGGTAATCTGAACCCTGCGAACATATACCAAGCCATTATCTAAGGATATGGAAGGGGACGGGGAAGGATCCTGTGATGCACAGTACTTTTTATACTGATCAATGATCCACTTTGAGGGGTCAGAGCAGAGTTCCTTTGAAAAAAACATTTTCTCTAAAGCATGTTCAATGAAAGCACGATTCATTCTTCGTGGATCAATCAAACGATAGAAGCCACTATCTAATGCTGGACCTACAAGACATCCATGCTGAAGCAATGAGTTAACTTTGAACAGGATATCATATGGTATGTCAATTCCCCGAGGAGGAGCAACAATAGGGACTAGACTAGAATTGCTAGAAAAAGGAACTCCTTCCTCCAAGGAGAACTTGCTCCCACTTTCCTTATAATAAGCAAAGTTTTCCCTGAAATTTGGACGCTGTCCATGTGAAGGAAGCTGCAAGTATATATGAGAAGACTGCCCAATACAGCTAAAAGGAGTGAAATCTATTGCCCGGATCCATTGATCATCAGAAACATCTTTACAATAATTGAGAAGAGGATCTTCGAATATACTTCCTGAAGTACGCACGTCTTTCTCAAATATTCGAGGAGCACCAAGTAGCTGAAAGTTGAAGAGAGATTGATAAAGATACAAGATTCATCTGAAGTCATGTACGCAGAAGAATACAAATAATAACAATATGCAATTACGCAATATATGCAATCATATGAATTAACAAGAATCCACCTTCATGTATGAAGATAAGCTCGGACAAAAACTCAAAAGCATTAGTGTGCTCTGTTTTATAAGTATATGAGCTTTAGGGGTTGGCCTTACGTTCTATTTTCCTAGTACTTATAGAATGTCTTCACTCTTATCTTATGACAGGCAGTGAAAGGTATGCATAATCTGAAAGGCTTTGTTGCATAAGAAAGGTAGGAAAGAGAGAGAAACAGAGGGAAATAGAGAGATAGATGAGAGCGGCGAGAGAAAACAGAACTTAATTCATCATTATTCCGAAGCCCGGTTACAGCTTAACTCACCCCTCTATTCATATATAGCCTATTACCCTTGACCCCGATTAACTAGATAATCCTAACTACTGGTTACCCCTTAACTAACCATTTATTCATTACATAACAACACCAATACCTAATTTATAGAGGCAGTTAAAGGAAGGAGGGAGGGGACAGAAGAAGAAGAGAGACAGAAGAGAGAAAAAGAAACCAAGAGACAAGAAAGTAATCAATAACTGAATTTCTAATCAGGCATGAGTATGACTTTCTCATACAACCTCCTTTTATAGGCTATTAAACCCGAGTGGCTATTAACTCCTAATGTCTATCAACTAACTGACATACGTATACTTAATTTACAAGTTACACATAGGCTTCCTCCTTCAATAAATTATACATGTAAGCATGCACGCACGCACACAAATTGTGGTTGTATGCGTATATGCCACAAACAAATCTCATAATGAAAAAGGAAGTAAGTCTTCTACAAGTTCAGCTTCAAAATAGTAAAGTAAATCTAATGGAGTAGCATTTATTCACTACTATCTATTAAATTTCTCGAGCAGAATTATTTGAATCAGCATTCCTTTTCCTTTCTTGATTCTGTTATATGTCAGAAATCAGACAATCTAGGAGCTTTATATTCTATTTTCCGGTTATTACCTTGAATGTATTAGTTTCATTTCACCATTATTTTTGTGGTCAAGAAAATGAACCCTTGACTTCTACCAATCTCTATCCCATCCTTACCATTTAAGTGCAGCAGGCCAAGTGGCTTGTTTCTATCACAATTGGTTGGTGTTCTTGTAACTATCACTCCAGTAACAATTCTTTTATTACACCCACCATAACAGTATAAGAAAATAAAGTATATGCTTTTAAAGTTCAAATTACCACTAAATAAGTTATATTTGACGACCTGAATCAGAAGATACTCTGCAGTTTCACCACGCGGACGATGCAGCTCAATCTGCCAAATGTTTTCATAGGAAAGCTCAAGCTTGTAATCCGCCCCCCTATAGGACAGAAGGAACTGCATCTTTCTCATTCCTATCCCAAAGTTTACTTCCTTAGTAACAGCTTTCCATAAATTATAGAATCTATCCCTCGAGATCTGGCAGCCAAAATGCAGCTTCACATCCTCCAAGCTATGCAAAAATTTTACTGGCTTTGGCACGATATCATTTTCCAGTTCTCGAGCCTTAAGGTAGGAATTCCCATACCATATGCTTTTGGCCGGCAAGGAGATGAGATAAGAAGCATTCTTCGCTTCGTTGAATTGAATGATAGCAAATGCTCTTCGAACTCTACCTTTGCCTTGCCTTATCTTAATAGCATAAACAGTATCTTCACCAGTAATCTCCTCTACAAATGGCTTTACTGTGGACACAGAAACATCACAAGGGAATCCATACAACTCGATTGTTCTACCCATCGTATGCCAGCTCTATAAAATTTCCTGTATTGGGAAGATGAAATGATAACCAACAAGAAAAAAAGGACAGAAAGAAAAATGTTACTGTGATTCACAACAGGAGTATGTTAAGGATGAAATGCAGATAAATTTTTCTAGCATATTTCATGATGAGCAAGGGGGAACGAAAATAAATATTTCAACAGAAGGCCACGTCAGGTAGCCAACACAACAGAGCTTGATGAATCCTTAGAAGTTGGAATGCTGTGAATCACCATTTCTAACAAAAATTGTCCCATAAAGCAAATCACAAGAGTTAGTGATACAGTATCTTACAGTCTAAACAAAGAACCAAGCTTAGATGGACTTCTGGACCAAAAAAAAAACAAAAGAAAAAAACTTAGAGACTGATCTTCTAAAATAGAATTCAGGGTGTAATTTTTTTAGTTCAAACTTACTGTCGTGAAAATAGCATTCCCAAAAAAGTTACCAAATAGTGCAATTCATGTGATTTTGAAAGGTAACCAATCAAACACATGCCCTTGGTGAAAATTAAGAGTCATCTGTTGAGTATTTTAAAAAAAAAAAAAGTGAATATAACAACGGTCAAACGTTAAATATCCGAAGGTACAAGATGCAACCGATCTCAGAACAAGTAAGAAATAGATTTATGTTCACACACTTTTAAACAGGACAATCATTCCATTCCAGCCAAGCGGATCAAACGCGTCTACCGAAGAGGTCCAATTTATATCCAAGGGAGATTTCTTTTTTCAAGAAAAACTTTTCCTCTTGTATTAAGTTAAATCACCACGAGTAAGTTTTAGAGCAACCCAGCAAAGCACCAAAGCAGAAAAGGAAAAACACTTTGAACATCTAATGACACGCCAACAAGACAACTAATCCGACACATCCAAAATTCTTGAATAAAGAAAACGAGAAAGAACGCAACACCGCGATATTTCAGGCAGAAACGTAATATTCTTGCAAGAGTAGTGATCAGCCGTGCACCACAAATTTGCATGAATCGAAGTAGAGAGCAGTAGAGGTTTGAGTTAGTGATCACTCATCATCCATCAAAAATGCAAAAAGATGATCAAAATCCAGAACTGAGTCTTACCAGAGCAATCACGAGACAAGGGATCCAACGACACAGAGAGAGAGAGAGAGATGAATTCTTGTTCTTCACTTGTCAACTGGAGTCAACACTCTCCCTCTTGACTGCTACTCACTATCCATCAATGACAGATTTACACTCTTCCTTTCTCGCCACTTCTCATGGCACGTCGAAGGAAGCTGCCTATAAATAAAGGGAAAAAAGTTAACGGGAAGTCAGTCAAGAAAACAAAATAAAAAAGTGAATAAAATAAGAAATGATTCTATGCGTTTTTAGTTTTGAAAAATTAATAAAAGTATCTAGATTTTATTTTAATTACTTTTCACCCTTTTAATTTTTATTTAAAATTTTATATTTTATCTGGCGCAGTAGGAATCTGGGATCATGGAAGCACACTCCTGGTTCGCCGAAAGCAATCCAACATCGACAATAACGTGTTGACGAAAGCTGAAGACGTATGTAAGGTGATATTACCATACTACTATACCACCAAGTTCGAATATAAAATTAATTTAGAGTTTGTTTGAATTAATATCTGAAAAAAATGATTTTTATTTCAATTTATTTTTACAAATATATATATAATTAACATTTTTTCCCGGCCAAAAAATAAAAAACGGAGAGAGAATCTCTGAAGGAATCCGCGAATGGGGATGCACTGGTCCGTACAGATGGGTCCCAGCCTTGAAAAGCAAATCTATGATCCGTGAAGCGAAATTTCGACCAGGCAATAAAGAAAGAAAATGTTCACAGTTTATTTATTTATTTATTTTAATTTTTATTAGGATAAAACTCTATTCCTCTCACGCTTATTATAATACTTAGTTATTAAGTTAATTTTAGTTCTAAAGATAAAATTTGTTTTTTATTTTTATCAGTTTTTTTTAAAATTATCCTTATTGATACTTTCTCAACTATAACCCATTAGGAGAGGGAAATGAATATTAAGGAAGATGATTATGATGTTTTAGAAAAAAACATGTCATGTTTTTATAATTAACTAACTTATCTATTTTTTTAATCTAATCAAATTAGTTAAATAGATCATATATTAAAGACTAACTGAGTATAATTTATGTAAAGTTCTGTTTCGTTAAGAGCAAGTTTTTTCTTTTCTTTTTGGTAATAAGAGCAAGGTTTATTGCAGATAAAAGAGTAAGAAAGACTCTTGAGCTACTTGTTGGCCTATTCCTTTTAAAATTATTCCATTCATTCAAGAATGTGATTTTTTTTCATGCCAAAAATATGGAAGAATTGGACAATCGAAGAATATTCCCAAATAACATCCAAGATTTACTTCTATTTTTTATTATAAAACTGTTATTTTATTATTAATGATTTACGAGGTACTGTTACAAATCAGAATTAAAAATGTAATTTGTTTTACTGATAATATTAGGTTATTTATGGTTTTGATTTCTTACATGACTTGTATTGAATTAACTACAAAAAATATATCTTTACTTATATTAATTAAAAAATAAAATCTGAGTTTTTAGACATAGCCATGTGTAATTGGTAGACATGGGACAGTCTTTACTCTTTGCCATTTATTTGCTCATTTGTTATTCCAATTTGCCCATTTATATTTATATATATAAACAGGATTTATAGCCAATAACATACAATTCATTCATCTATTTTTCCTTTTTTTTTTTAAGAGCGGAAACACGTTTAACTTTTCATGTAAAAATATAATCATTTTTTTATTATTACTTTTTTTGCTTTAGGGAAAGTTAATGAGTGAAGCAAGCTAGAGAAGAATCTCATCCATGGAGTAGAGATGAAAATAAAGAGCAGAATAAGCCATAGCCCATGAGGGAAGACTCCTTGGTGATGAAGAAGTATTATCTCTGGTCAAAAAAAAAAAAAAAGCAACTTGGTGATGAAGTATTGAAGGGGCCCATATATTCCATTTCATTCTTCCTCCTTTCTTCCTCCTCCATCATTTCATTCTTTTCTTGTTCCACGCAAAGATCAAAAGCAATCTCCTCACCTTATATTATATATATATATAATTATTAAAAGTTAAAAAAGCATGAAAATGAGAGAGAAAAGAGCCAATGATTTTTCTAAACCGTGCCTTATTTATTAATTCGTCCATGAGGGCTTATAAAAAGAACAAATGAATGAGACAGTCTAATAAATCCGAAGTGAATCTACAATAATTGTGATTGGGAACGTAAACAAAATAGTACTAGAAAAACTATCCTGCATGAAAATGACCAAGTAAATCGTAGTAACCCACCCCCATTTAATTTCATTAATACCCTCCCTCGAGCTCAGGATCTCGTGTTTGACATTTAATTTTCCTGTTGATCAGTGCATATAGGGTTATGAAGAAAAATGAAATAGCCTAATAAATACAAAATCAGTCCACATTAATAATAATAATAATAATAATAATAATAATCACAATAAATGTGATGATCGTAACTACTGAATAAGAAATTACCACAAGGTAATCATAATTTCCTTTAGTTTTGTGTGCTCTATTTTTCTATTTTTTTTTTTGTATATCATACAAATATTAATTGCAGCTTGAAAAAGAAGGGATTTTTCAGCATATTTGCCCAATTGCTTAGATCCTTTGTCATATCTAAATATCAAACCATAATATTGCGCACTACCTCTGATTCTAATTATAAGATCTCGGTTATAATAAGGTCTTATAATTAAGACCGGAAGTAGTATGTTATTGATGCTGTTTTAATAACAAGTTGCACCAATTAGCTAGAGATCCATTTACTTATACGGAAAAGGAAAAAAAATGTTGGAGGAACATCAAATAAATTAACAGATGCTTCTGCCTTCTGGTTTTATTTTCATTGAGCTGAAGCCCCTTTGCTTCTCTAAGTTTCCTACTTTGTATAACCCAATAAAAATTAATTGGTAATTATCCAACCCAAATTATGGTTTACCAATAAAAATGGCAACTTCTTTTGAACGATCGCAGTCATCATCAAGCACACTCTCAATCAAGGACAACCACCTGCAAGAAAAAGGTTATCTGGCAAATACTGTTATAGTCTTATTTATAAGTTACTTTCAACATGATTCAGACGGACCAAGAAAAACCTTAAATTTTATTAACTCATTTAAAATTTATCAACTTTTCAACTTTATCTCTATTTAGTATACATTATAACTCACCTAAACAAAGTCAATACAATAATAAATAAAAAGTGAAATCATACATTCATATGAAAAAAATTTTTTTGCCCTGTAAATAAATAGAACCAAAAGAGTATAATAACAACTATTCCATAAATTCCGATCTCCACCTTCATCCTAGAAGCTTAATGCTTCAACCGAGTCTTTATAATTCAAAGCATTTACCGTTTTAAAAGGAAGCTGATCTCAAACTTTTCAAAGGATCAATCCACACACATATAATATATACCTTCACATGTTCTTCATTTTAGCATACCAAAAGTAATAAGAAGACAAAGAAGAAAGGACGTCAAGGGAGGGCATCAATCTACAATAAAATACTCTTCCACCGAAACACTGTTCATAAGCCGTTTGCACTGTCTTGGGCTGCGTGCACGCCTGTTTTCCAAATCTTCCCTCCAACAAACACACTATTTCACAATGTCATGCATTTCATTCACATTTTCCCTCCTTGAACGATACAGATGCAGCTTCAACTTGAAATTCAAATAATGTTCCCTCCTTTTTCATGAGGCCACGGGCATAAATAGGTAGCTTATTCCCATTACCTCCACTTTTCCCATATTCTTGTCATCTCCTCTCTCAATCTTCGGTTGACAAAAATCATGTCCACATTGGTAGGAGATCCAGTTGCTTTGGTAGATTTGTATTATGGCAGATGTGAAGGCTGTATTTTGGTGAAGGTTGAGAGGGTTATATTCAGGGAGAAGAAGGTTTGGAGACGTGGTTTTACAAGAAGTTTTAGGTTTTTGGTTTCTGTTGATTTGTTGGTCTTTGATGAAATGGTTCGTCATTTTGGCTTATGATACAAAATGTTTCTATTAGTCTAAGGTTTGGTTTCATTACGGTTTACTTATTGGTGAATCATTCATGAATCTTTCAGGGTACCCATGTATTAGCTGTTATAGAAGATGATACGGTGCTTGACAGTCTCTGTGGTCGATTAGTTCAAGGCCAGTCATATAGGATCTCTGGTTTCACTGTGAGGCCTGATGGACTTGGTGTTCATAGTAGTTACCATATTTATTTACAGGAAGGGACGGTGGTTTTAGATGCAGCAGAACTTCTTCCTCAAGTGTCTTTATTCCTTAGGGGAGTTGATTGCTTATCATATGGTTATTATCATGATTGGGGTATGCTGGGTAGGTGAAAATGTTGGATGCAAAATTCTTTACATGTGCTTCGTTGAAAATGTTTGACGTGGTCTTCATGGATTTTTTTTTTGCTAATATGTTATATGTTTTTCTAATCTATTATTTGGTTTTCTAATCTGTTATTAGATGCTTGTGGTTATCTTCGTGAGCTTTTGAGCCCAACAATTGCTAAAGTAAATGGTGTGTATTGTAAAGAAGTTACGCTGATACTTGAGCAGAAACACTTTGAGGAAGAAGGAGGGTATATGTTATATTATATTTTATATAATATGTTTTTCATTTATTGTCAAATCAATTATTAGTATCAATTCATAGATACTGATTTCTCAATAATATTAACTAATGAATAATTACTTTCAGAAATATTGTTATATGTACTTTGCATGGAGAGTGTGCTGAGACCACCATTACATCATATAACTCTATTACTAACACTGAACATGTGTTTGTGGCAATACAACATGTTATAGGTACCAGTTTTTTTCAACCCGGTAAGAATATATCATGAAAGTAGTATGAATGTATTTTTGTTTATTTGTTAGTTCTCTTTCTAAGCATTGTCATTTTTTATATAGGGGGGCCACATCTAACCTCTTTTGGTGAAGCTACAAGAGTCTTCTTTAATCCTGAGGTGGCTGGTATTGTTGAAGAAGGCTACTATCTTTTGTCTTCTGGAAGACCGATGCTGAAATAGTTAGGATTTAAAATCATCATGGCTAATGATATTATCATTAATGAAGTTTGTAATATTATTTCCTTAACTTTGTTGAAGCCCTATAATAACCTATTTTTATCCTTTTTTTTAAAAATTATC